GTAAAAATCTATAAGAAACAGTAAAAAAAAAAATCCTATGTAGTTTTTTGGTTGCAGACCTGTGTAATCAGTGTCCATGTATACAGCTAATTTTCAAAGATAACCTCTGTCAAATATGTGAACCAGGTATAGCAGCAGCCATCATGTTTACTCCGGAGAAGATGAAGGAAGTGTCGGACACTCAGCTCCGTGTTGCCTTTGATGGAGATGCCGTCCTCTTCTCAGATGAGTCTGAGCGGATTTGCAAGGCCCATGGACTGGACAAGTTCTTTGAGCACGAGAAGGCGCATGAAAACAAGCCTCTAGACCATGTACAGTATACACAGCGAGACATTTTTCCATTGGAGAATGATAGGAAGGGACACCAAAAGTCAAATATTTCTTATAGAATTACACCTACCTACAACAACCACCCAAATTCCCAAAAAGTTGGAAAGCTGTGTAAAATGTAAATGAAAACCAAAATCTCCACATTGTTTCACCACTGAAAACATGCAATTTTTAAAGAGAGACATTTTACTTTTATGGAAAACAGCTCATTTTAAGTTAGATGGCAGTAACTCGTCTAACAAAAAGTTGTGAAGCTGGCAAGAAAAGTCTAGAAAAGTGCGCAATGGACAAGGCTGAAAATCATTACTGGATATGAATGATCCTTAGGCAAGTGGCACTGCGTTAAAAACAGACATGATTCTGTCATGAAAATCATTGCATGGGGTCAGGAATGCTTCCTGTCTGTGAACACAGCTCACCGTGTCATCCACAGAAAGCACACAAAGAAGAAGCCATATGTGAACAGTGATCTCTAAACACCACTGTTCTGTGTACCGTGCATCATGAAATGAAAAACATGACAAGAATCTTACATCCAACAAGAATTGGACATCATTCCTCTTCCAAAAGCCCAGCGGCTCCTCAGTTCTCACATGTTTACAGATCGTTATTGAAAGAAGAAAGGATTTTGGGCCTGTCCCAGCTTGGATTTCTGTTTCTCAGTTTAAACATCTAATACAAAATATGGTTTTCAGAGATTTGCAAATCGTTGGATGTTCCTTCTTTTAGCTTACATTTTACACAGTGTAAAATTAAATCAGCGTGTAAAATTTACACATTGAGCTCCGTTGGCCTGAATTCAGTTGTAGTGTGTCTAACATGTAGTGAGTCACGTATACGTGCAGAAAGATTAACATTCATGAATCTGTCCTTCTTTCTGCAGGGGCCACTGAAGGGCTTCCTGGAGGTTTTAGGAAAGCTCCAGAAAAAGTTTTACGGCAAAGGTCAGCGGATGGACTGCCCCATCCGGACCTACCTCGTGACAGCTCGGAGTGCAGCCAGTTCTGGTACCAGAGCCCTAAAAACGCTGCGCTCCTGGGGTCTGGAGATCGATGAAGCTCTCTTTCTTGCCGGCGCGCCCAAAGGCCCAATGCTGGAGAAGATCAGGCCACATATCTTCTTCGATGACCAAATGTTTCACGTGGAGGGGGCAGCAGAAATGGGAACAGTGGCATGCCACGTGCCATATGGGATCGCTCAGAGAGTAGTAAAAAAGGGAACAAAGGACAAAGAGACTCCTAATGCATCCAAATAGCTGAGGTATTACTGTGCAGGAGCAGAGCATACAGGGGCATTTACCTTCGGCATTCATGATTTCACTACTGGAAGAAGTACGCTGTCCTGGATTAACAGTGCAGGTAGTTAATGCAATATCATAGAATTAAAAATATATATGTTAATATTTATCAAAGCATTTATTTTTCGCTAACACGTAATTATTATTTTTATCAGGAAGTAAAAAAGTTACAGGTTGTATCAAATGGCTTTATTAATTAATCTTATTGATTTATTAATATTAATATAATATTAAGATATCAAACAGACATGTTTGATATGTTTATCAAGCATGTTCATCAAACAGGGGGCGGCATCAGGGGCATGGGCAAATGTTTATGTTGCCAGGTTATAAAAAAATCTTTTAACTATATAACAGGGATTGCTGTTGAAAATGCTGTTAACCTTTTTTTTTTATAAAACATAATAAAACACAGAATTTATTGACAGAATAAAGAATGAACTTTCCACAAAGGGATTCTAGTCAACATGAATTCATCATCAGCTCATTCTGTTCTACTAAATCTGAATAAATGATTCAGGTGCCATTATTAAAAGTCATTAGTCATAAAACCCTTAATCAAGATGATGTCCTATTATAACCTGATGCTTAAAGTTGTATTTTAATTTAACATTTATTCTTGGTGATTCATTTTCTCTACCAAACAGATATTTATTTTCTTTACTGCTTTATGTTTAACTGATATATCTTATAAAAGAGAAAAAGCTATTTCAAAGTATTAGAAATACTCATACAACTCTAAAGGATAAATTTAATAGAATCTATAATTATTTCTAAATAATAATATTTAGACTCCAGGATACTAAAGAAACATGAAGGATACGTTTTTGTTTTGTGCGATTCATTTACTTTAATTCTTGTCTTCAAGTTTGAGTTTTGCAAGCTGGTGCCTTCTGTTGTCTTCTGTTGTTTTATGATGTATGCTTTTATGTGACTTTTGCATGTTGGTGGTATATATGCTGTATATGTAGGTTATATGAATGTACCTTAAGATTTAATATTTTTGAAAATATGTACGTTACTTTTTATTTATTTAATGTTTCTCCTTGTTCACGATGACAGAGAGAAGTCTAAATATATTCAGCATTTACTAACAGTTACCATGTGCAGTTTTAATTTCTACTGCTTCCTCCTGAAGTGCCGAAAGTTCAGTGTCCCAAATTTTTATTTGTCTGCCTCTGTCTGTCTTTTTTGTCATGAAGTTGTGTTGATGCTGTTGCACTTTATCGTTCTGTGAATGAATGTAAAGAAAGTTGGTGTTGAATGAGACCAATGTTGCTGTCCGATGTGAATTTGGGTTAAGAGTGGGACAAATGTGTAGCTGTTTTTCTGTTTCAAAATGGAAGTAAAAACCCTGTAAAAATAATCGGATCACTGTTTTCCTGTCTTTTACCATCGTTGGGCTGTGAAGGTCCAAAATTGTACTTATGATTTAGGGTTAAAGTAAGATTTTACATGTGGGAAAAGAGAATAGAAATAGAATGGAGAATAGAAAAGAAGAAATAGAAAGAAATAAAGACAAAATTCAGATCCAAATTTCTTGTGTAAAAACCCTTTCACATTGAGTGCATGACATTTGTCTTTTATTCGTTAGTTGTTTTTCTGACTCACCTGTTTTAATGTTGACCAAAACCATGTAATTTTGGCAAGATGAATTTACTACTTTTATTTTTTCAACTCCAATTTGGCTTTCCCAATTTTCTCTGGTGAATAAAAAGTTTGGACCAATTAGATGGTTTGGCAACTAGTGCGCTCCACTAATAAGCTCCACTAAGATTTTCTTTGTATACAGGCTGTGATGAGCTCACATGTGCTACTACAGCTGCTCCTCTAAGGCTTACTGCTCTTTGTGCATTTAGACAGCAGAATTTAGTAGGATATAAGCAGATGTTACATGATGTATCATGGATGATTTACAGCCTGTGCAATATCACTGAATTTCTTTCCAATCTGATACCAAATCAAATTCAGGGTGTTATTGACAATACTAAAACATAATGTGGTTGTAAAATCAAAACAAAAAGTAGTGTACTTAGTATACTTTCATAATGAATACAAGACATCAGACTATTTGTTCTTTAATTAAGAATTCATACAATAAATAAAAAAATACTTTGACTGTGACTTTGTAATGATACCTAGCCTATATAATCCACTTTAAATGTTCTGTAATTTTGCCTGACAAAATCTAGGCCAATTGAATTGATGTGAGTTGATCTTAGGGACATACATATTAGTCAAAGCTAATCTCATACAGCTAATTATTGTAGCATGTATTTATTTAATTACTTATTTCATAACCATATTTATTCATGTAAATTTGAACAAATGGGATTCTGTAAATTTCTGTCCTTTTAACACAGACACAAAAACCTAAGCCTAGACATAACTCACTTTCCAAAATTGATTAACAGTGCTACATGTCACCAACAGCTCCACCTTTTCTCTCTCTATACCTGGATCTGCCTGCAGCACCAAAGGACTGTGCAAGCAACATGTGTCTCACCCTGGCAGCAAATGTCCATCTGCTCCTCTTCAGTTCACCTCATCGTGAACTCGTCATCATATGGGGTGGCTGTGGCTCAGGGGGAGCAGGTCACAGGTGATATTTGTTGAGCTGTTTGAAACACTGAATTTGAAATTCTCTGCCACTTAAGAACAACGTCAACAGCGCCACCCCACTTTGACATATAAGTTAGTACCAACAGTGGCAGAGTGACCTCTGACCTACCATGAAGAAAATAAATTAGAGGCTGTGAAGGTTGTCTGAGTGGTGGAGGCAGAAAAAAAATGTTGGTTAACAGCCTATTGATTTATTCCTTTTTTCACAACTGTGGTTGAGCCAACTAATGAAAAATGAAACTAGAAAAGCTTTGCAAGGAAACAAAAGGGGGAAAACACATCTGCAACTTCAAGACAATCCTGAACTAAACTGAACTAATCAAGAAACAGTTTTGCACTGGGAAAAATCCCCTTTAATGGGGCCCCTGACAATAAAGCCACTACGTTCTGTTCATAATCATAACCTGGCCCACGCTAGCTCTGGAGAGGAGATGCAGCTCCTGATTATATAGTGAGAGGCTCCTCCCACTGTCTGAAACAACAATGAAATATCAAATTAAGAGTAAACATAGGTTGTTTATAGTAGTGTTAAATCTGCCATTTAAATTTCTTATTATAATATAATAGTTAAACAATGGGAACATTAATATACATATATTTAGAAAATCCCCACGCAACTGTAAATGTTTAAAATCAACAGATTCTTCAAACTCATACCAAACTCATGCTCTTTCATAACACTTGGTAACTTCCCTCCAAGGAACTTTACCATAAGAGTCCAAAAACCCAACTGGGGTGGCTGTTGCTATGTTTTTAACAGATGCAGGCCAGTTGCAGTCTGGAGGAGAAGTGAGAAAGAAATTAGATGCAAATCTTAAAACTAGTATTTTACGCAACTCTCTTCTTGACTTCAGGAGTAATGTGGCAGCAGTACACACAAAACGCTGCAGTAAGCTTAGAGGTCACAGGCCAAAAAGATTCTTCCTCTTGTCAGCAGGGGGAGACAAAGATGCATAAGCAAATTTTTTCAGTAGCTGGATTTTTAACCAAAGACCAGTCATTTAACTTCTACTTACTAATAATCAAGTGTAGTTTTTTATAATGATACTGCTAATAAGCACTGTACTATGTTTCTGCACAACAATTTCAGTGTGTTTTTTTCTTTTCTGTCACTCCATGGAACAGCTCTTGAGGTCAGAATAGAAACTTTTTATTGTCTCACAAGTCGCTTCTGAATACTCTTAAAGGGTTTTTATGAATGTTTGACATGTAGTTATGCCTTTTATTGCTCTTGTTTATTTATTCTTTTTTTTATTCTACTCTGTTTACATTTGTAGTGTTTCTATTTTTTCAAGCACTTTGTAACTTTGTTAAGAAAAGTTTCATATCAAAAAGTTTTAAACTGGTGTAACAGGAAATGTCATCTCTAATATGTTTTTCTTCAAGAAAATAAGTAATTATGTAAAACATAATTAAATAAGTAATTACATTTTGCAGTCATGCCTAGCAGGAGGAGCTTGTTAAATTAATACTTTTACAACATTTTACTAAGTCAAAATAGTAATAAAATCTGCTACTTACTTTATCTGTAATATTTCTCTAAATGTCCTCATTTGTGTTCCAGATTTGTTTTATTTCTGTTCTAAAAAACAAACAAGGCTTTGTAAGGTTCAATGGGAACAAACTACAAAACTTCTGGAACAATGTTGTTTGGACAGGTGAGACCAAAGTGTTTTTTTCTGTCATGTTCATGGAG